TGGCGGCCGTGGGCTCGCAGCCGGACGCGGGATCCCCGCGCTACCAGGTAGGCCGGGCCGACGCGGGAGGCCCTGTGGGGCGGTGCCGCCCCCGCCCCGCGGAGATGACGCCGCTCCGAGGAGAGCGGGGCGCCAGGGTCACCACGGCCCGTACCCGGCCCCGCCCCATTAGCGTGTTTCTGCTCGTCTCCGGCCCCAGTTTCCCCGGCGGGAGCTCGAGGCCATTGCCTCTGTCCCTACCCCCGAGGGCCGCGCTGCTCGCCTCGGTCACCCAGCTCCCACTCGAGCCACCCCAGCAAATGCCAGCTCTCAGTATTCACTGTTTCTTGCAACGAAAACAACACTTTTTAACTACTGACAAGTGATAGAGCAGTTTTTCTATTGCAAACACCCCAGAAAGTTGGCAACTGTGGATTTCTGGTTGAAGTCTCCGGGTCAGACAAACTTAACGTGCTAGCTAACCTGGCGTGATGCCCCAGGGCACCTGGGGTACAGGTACACCCTGGTTGAGAATCACTGCCCTGGGGTCATGGAGAAAAACCCATTTCCAGCTTCTCAGTAATTGCCCTTCAGCTATTTGAAGACTGTCATCAAACTCCCTTGGCTGCCTTTTCTCTAGACTTTAAATAACCCCAGCTCTTTCAGACTTTCATCATAAGTCTTGTCTCCTATGTCTCTAAACACTGTTGTTGTTCTACACTGGTCTCTTTCCAAACTGCCTTCTTGTGGTGTGTGCCCAAATATCCTAGTCTAGGTTAGGCCTCACCAGTGCTCAACAGGGCGGAAGAATTGCTTTCGCTAATTTGCAGATGACACCCCTGTGTGCTGTTGGCTTCTCTTTTTTGACCAACAGCTTTAACTTTAACTAGCTTTTTAAACTAATGTAAAGGGGGTGGGAGTCCTGATGCAGGTGTCAAATGACAATTTTGCAGGGGAAGATTTCTGTGCTTGGAAATCAATTGTGAGTTGAAGGAATGAGTAGCGTTCACAAAGTCTGTACATACCAGTAGAAAGCAAGGGCAAAAAATTGTAAGAATATCCTTTTATGGGTGGAAGGAAGAGATGTTTTGGGATTGTTTTGCTGTAAGGAAAAAAAATAAGTGTATTCACTTGTCAGTTGCAAATACATTTGTTTACTTGCACTGTCATTTTAAAGGAGCATTGTTAGCCTCATCTGTTGCAAACAAATCTGTTTGCTTGTGTCTTTGGTAAAGTCTTTGCTAATTAAGCTGTGCAGTGCTCTCCTTTGTCTCAGGTAAGACACTGAAAACTTGTCACCTTCTCTGCTAGGTTCTTCATGTTGTGGTGTTTGCCAAACCTGTGAGGATATGTGCATTTGTTTAAAGTCTCTGTCTACTGGAATTAAAAGGAAACTAAGCAAGATTGTAAATTAAGTGAAACATCCCCCTACACTGCAACAAACATTAATGAAAACATTTCCCTTGTTTTCTCATTGCAAAATGTAAAATTCTCAACAGAACTGAGCTCAGTGGGACACTTAAGAAACATGTTACTCCACATGAAAGTTAGAAATACTCTAAATGTTTAAAGATAATATTTTACTTTATTTTTATTAACCAAATAAGCTGGTTTTAGACTTCTGTGTCTGTGCAACTGCTCAGGTTTTAACCTGAAAATGAGACCTGATTCCCAACCCAGTTTTTTAAAACCAACTTTTCATTTTCCTTCTCCGCCACCCCCTCGATCATTGGCAACAGTTTCCTAGGGGACTTCAGGGCAGGCCATGTATATCCAGCTGCACTGGACTAGCGTATGTTCCTTTGGATACATCTGGTACGTCATTCAAACAGTAAGGTGACTAACAGGGTTACCATTTAAGTGGAAAGTAATTATTGTTTATAGAGCACTACAAGCATGTGTGAAGTTTAACAAACACAAAAGGCCAAGGTTGCCACCATGTGGCACTTATAGTCTGAAACAAATGTTATACATGGGATAACTGCAAACACAAGAAGGCATAAGGATAGGCAATAGCGGCTACAGTGTCCTTAACTAATATTTGTCTTTCTGGCTGTGAAATCATCAAGACAAGTTGGCCTTCATAATGTAAACTATCAAGCCAGAAAGTTGAAAATATAATTAAAAAAAAAGTAAGTTTAAGTTCTGGAAGATAAAGCCAAATCTGTGTGAAGACCCGGAGGGCAAGGTCCTGCAGGTGTATTGTTCTCAGAGGTCAGTGGGAGCACTCCCTGCAGGATTACTTTGTAATTTTTGCATCTAGAAATTATTGCATTTACAACAGATTGTCATGGTATATATTGTTCTACAAAGTGAAAGTGTGGTAACTAACTTGCCCCTTTCGAATCATATACTATAGAACTTGGAAATATGTGACAGAACTAATAATATGTAATGCAGAGACCAGCCTCCCTCCCCCATAAAGTCTAAGGCAGTGATTCTCGGCTAGGGGACTGTGGCATCTTGGGGTGCCTTGAGATCCTTTCAAGGCTGCCATGGGGTGCCACACAATGTTAGCACTGTTGAATTTGCAAACGTGATTCATATGATAAACTGAGGGATTTTTAAATAGGAATCCATAGTGCTAAAAAACATTTTGACCTGGTGTGGTCTTTCTGAGTTCTTTGCAACAGAAGAATTGCTCTATTATTTTTCTGTAATCAAAAAACAAGTGAAAACTAAGAGTTGGCATTTTCTGAGAGGTGGCTTGAATCTTAAGAACCACTGATTTAAGGTAAGTATTATTGTTGTTTCTTTGTAAAGTGGAATCAGTATCCTATTTTAGTCAGAGGAGTAGTCTCTGGAATTAGAAATGGACAGTTTCCAATCCCAGATTCACTCAGATGAATCTGGTATGTTCATTTATAGCTTTAATAAACCCTTTCACCTATGACAAATAATAACTTTCTGAGTGGAAGAGACACAGAGAGCTAAGATTTAACATGCCTGTGCCTTTATGCATCCAAGTAGTCCCACTGAATTCAGTAATTTTATGCATAAAATCATTTATGTTTCAGTCCCACAAGATGCTTGCAATATGGTGGTGTATAATGTTAATTTATATATTATTTAAAAAGATATGGCCAACTCAAATCTAGGGGGTTTTAGAACCAAGTTTGGTTCTAGCTATTAGGCCTCCTAAGTCCCTATGCCAATTTTTGTGGGTTTTCATTCACACTTTCTATTTTTAAAGGGGTTTTATCTCCCAAATACTGTGTGAAAGAAACACACAAATATAATAGAAACTTGCAGAGCAAGAAACTAGTAGTGAAACTTGATTGTTCATAATAGGCTGCCTGGCAAATAAACCAACATTCAAACTGAAGCCAAAAGAATGGAGAGAACCTTTTATTTTTCCCCTCTAATCACATATGCAGCAACTCTGGTTGTTTACATCAATTGTATGTTTAAATTAATAGAATTGTGATGATTATTTTATAAGCTTTAATTAAACAAAAAAGAAAAAGAACAGCCCAAATCATTATAATGAGAACTTTTGATGGTGAACTGAATGCAGTTTTATCTTTCTAGCTGTGCACAGCCCTTGTGCCTTTGCTGCTACTACTGTTTCCAAGCAGCAGCAGAATTAACAGGTCTGTAATCAGTTTTAGTCTTTCTATTTGGACTCTGTGGAGAGTGGCAAAACCAGTAATAATCAACTGCAACCATAGGCAGTGGAAGGCGGGAGCTAATGGGGTTTAGCCCCCCAAAGCTTTTCACTATGACAGGTGACAGCAGCAGCACCATGGTGCCTCCGTCCCACTGCCTGACGCCATTTGGTGTGCAGCCACTCCTCTGCCTCTATGTACAGCATCAGCGTGCGCCAGTCCCAGAACGGCCCTGCGGGAGGGTGGGGTGAGGGTCAGGCAGGACTCAGTCCCCCACAATAATACTTTCCTCCACCACTTATGACTACATTCTTTTGCTGTTTAGGAAAAAGGTGAACTGTAGAGGTTAGTATTAGAGTTATGAGCAAGATATTTTACCTACTTGTTATAACTTCAAAATGCAAGGGATGCTCTTTTGCCCTTAATTAGAGTAACTTAATTACAATTCTGTGTACAATATATGCACACACATTGTATCTCTTTTTTATAGTCTTGTTTCCTCATCCTTTCTATCTTTGTGGCCTTTCTGTGACTAAGCTAGGTGAGTCAGAGCTGAAGTAGCCTTGTTGTGAGACTCAATAGGTATCAGGGGAAAACTTAATTTTGATTATTTAGTTCTGCAAATGTAGAATTGCCAGCATGGTTCTGCCGAGAACAAGGCAATCTTTTAAATGAGTGACAGAAGATAAAGTAATATGAATGATGTACAGTATTTTATAAAATTGTATATTCTGATTGTAACTAGGTTTTTAAAAGAAAAAACTTAGAGTTTTTAAAAAGCCAAATTAAAACATGTTTTTATCATATCTTTAATTAAAACATGTTTTGTTAGTATCTTTAATTCCTGAGAGAGATTAATGTATTTTATATGAGTGTTATGACTTTTTAGGTAAACATGGCAGCATGTTTAGTAAATGATCACTCATATCCAGAGCTGTAAGAGTATGTTTTTTGTGGACCCTTTTCAAGTTTGACCAAACCAGGAGGTTGGAACAAAAGGTTATTGGTTCAAAACCCACACTGAGAAGGTAAGTTGCTCAGTGTGAGTCTTGTATCAGTAGCGGCCTTTTGGCACAAAGGTGGGTGGGAGTTGAAATGAGTCCTGTTCACATTATAATAAGTAATAGGAACAAAAACTGGAAACTTAAGAAAACAATCTTCCGTGAATAACCTAATTTTGATTGACTGTAAATCAAAACAAATCTTTCCAGATTTTAACTTGTTTGGAGTAGTGGGGAGGCCTGTTTATAAAGCACTTTGAGATGGCGTTGATTTTTTATTAGTGAATGTTTTTTAACAAGTAAGAAAAAAAACCAGAGCCAGAAGTGTAGAGAATAAATTGAAAATTTGAACAGGGAGAACAATATGATAGCACCAATTAGTGACATTTATTTCTCCGGTGTGTTTTTCATTCAACACTGACAGTAGTATATTTGGTAAAGGTAGAAACACTCATTTTCCCCATTTAGGAAAACTATGAACGAATGAAAGCATTAGTGACTGAACTCCAAGAGCAAGCAGAGAAAATCAGACTAGGTAAGTGCCATATTCATGATTTTTAGAATTTTTTTAAAACAGCCCTGGCATAGAGAGCTTTTTTGACTGATGCTGTTTAGTCAATTGTAACAGTGTTCACTCAAGTAAAGTCTGCTGTCTGGATCCCATGAGACGTACAGAAATATAAGAATCTTCTTCTTATTACTGAAACTTGCTCTGTTATCTTCCATTAGTTGCAACCTATAAAGGGATAATGTAAGGATAATCTAACTTGGTTCAAAATGTAGGTTTTTCAATAACAACAAACACCTAATATCAATAGAATGTTTCCATGACATTTTAAAAATTACCAGAGAAACTGTTTTCATATTGCCATATCCTGTGTTTACCATTCAGATCTCACAGCGGCGTGTTAACGCATAAGGGCCTGAGAATTACTAGAAACTCATTATAAATAAGAGAAAAGCTGAGTTAAGGAAAATATAGGCTAATTTTGTCCTCCAGGCTGAGAGCGGGGTAAAAAGTAAACAAACTGAATAAAGAATAAAATGTGATATTTAAAAGCATTTCAGTTTTAATCAACTAATATTTTAATAAATAAATATATTGTTTTAATGAATTTAATGGTAGTATCTTTTTAAACAAACAGAATTATTAACAAGAGACTTACTGATTATCTTTTACATCCCCTGTTTTCCCTCTTCATGCTGGTCCATCTCTGTGTTTTCTGTTTTTGTAATCCCTTAGCTGGGTGATTACACTTCCTTTTAAGTTCTCTCTTAATGTATCAACTTGTAGGAACAGCCTTCAAAGGACTGTGGTATTATGAGACAGAGGGGGTTTTATTCTGTGTTATTTTTTAATTTGTAAATCCAGAATCAGTCTTCTTTAATATACAATTTACGTTAACTAAGTCAAGTGACCTGAAAAATTTCAAATTTAAAAGGCCACACAAGTGCTGAACAACTAGGCCTTGAAAAGGTTGGACTTCAACTTTTAATTCTGCCCTTGTGTTTGAATGCATTGTGAGACTGTTACCTCTGTGACACGGTTTATTCACACACAAGTTTTCAAAGTATGCAGTGAAATTTCTACAATTTTTGAAGGGAACATAGTTAATCTTTCTAATTTAATTTGACGTGTTTGTAGGACTGGACTCTAAATTATTTCTCCTGATGATGCTGGATATCCTTGACCCCCCTCCCTTCTCTCATTGGCTTTCACAGATAAGGAACTGTTTAACACATGGACGGTCAATTATTTCGGGTGGAGGGCAGCTTACCCCGTTTTGGCAGGCTGTGGAGAGCCACATGGGTAGCCCAGCCCCTTGACAGGCACCCCACCCCTTGTCAGGTGCCCCGCCCCCTGGTCACCATCTTGGGACCAATGCCCCAGGGACAGCACTGGTAGGGCCCACAGCAGGGCGCAGGCTGGCAGGTGTCTGTGGGGCTGGGCTGGGCTACACCAGCAGGAAGAGGGGGGAGCTGGCTTGGCTCCATAGAGCCCCTCCCAGCTGGGACCCTATACCCCTGCTGCCCTGCTCTGGGCCCCAGGGCACTGGTGTGGGCCCCGTGCCTTCCCAGCTCCCCGCCCACTCGCACCCAGTGCCCCCCAACCCCACGGTACAGGCAGAAAGAAGCACACAGCCCCGACCCCCTGCTTGCCAGCAGGGAAAAGTAGCCCCTTGCCCACCCCATGGCCGGCACCCCATGCTGCAGCTGCTTGCAGCCCATGCGGGGCTGTCTGGAGCAGGCACAGGCAGCCCCACATGGGCTGCAAACAGATGCAGTGCCCGGCACCGGCCACACAGTGAGCAATGGGCCACTCTTCCCTACGCTCAGGACCAGCTTGTAACCCGACCCTGCTACCAGCCTGGCAGTGGGGCCAGGTTACAAACTGGTGCTGAGCGCAGGGGTGGGGAAGCAGCCCCTCACCCGCCCCATGCCCAGTGCCCCATGCTGCAGCCACTCACAGCCAGCCTGGGGCTGCCTGGGACTGCTCCGGACAGTCCCGCGTGGGCTGTAAGTGGCTGCAGCAGGGAGCGCTGGCCATGGGCTGGATGAGGGTCTGCTTTTCTCTGTGCAGGGCAGAAGCCCAAAGAAAAGCTGAGCATGGGGGGGGGAAGGGGCCCCTCCCCCACCCCATGGTCAGTGCTCCCTGCTGCAGCCACTTGCAGCCTGCACAGGGCTATCCGGAGCAGACACAGGCAGCCCCATGTGGGCTGTGAGCAGCTGCAGCGCAGGACATCAGGTGTGGGGTGGGGAAGGGCCACTCCCCCCTGCTCCTTTTTTGTTTGGGGTCCCTCCCGTCCTTCCCCCTTCCCTCACACTTACCTGTAGTGCTGGCGCAGGGCAGCCATGTGCTCCCATGCCAGAAGCCTGGGCAGGGGCTTCCAGCTGGTGGGACAGGGCCAGGCTGGGCGGGCCTCACTTTTATTGGAGCCCGCTGGGCTTCCCCTGGGTCCTACTGCCCTTGGTTGCTGTCATTTTTGGAACCAAGGGCAGAGAAATATTAATTTTCTACATTTTTAGGGATCCCACGGGCTGGATAGAATGGCCTTGTGGGCCAGATTTGGCCCGTGGGCCATATTTTGCCCACCCCTGGTTTAACACCTCCCAGTGATGCTTACCACATAATAAGACAGGGCTTTTAACACCAGCAAATCTTCCTGTGCTGGCCCCACAGGGAGACAGGACAAAGCTAAAGTGTCACTTGGTCATTTTCCCTTACCTTATTGCCTAGAGAAAACTTCCTAAGTATTAATTTACACATAGATAGTGAAATTCAAATTATTAAGCCTACATTGTAAGGAAAAGGCATGCAAGAATGATTAAGTTCCTCTCTGGCCTTCTAAATAAGTGTCCCCTCATTTACTTTATACAGACAAGGTTTTTTGGGAAAATTCAATATCTTTTACTTTATACATGCTCTATTATTTATGTTTATTAATATACCATAGTGCCTGGGTATCCTTGTCATGGACTAGGACCCCATTGTGCAAACACAGAGTAAAAAAAATCACCCCACAGAGACCTTACAAGCAAAACATAAGATATGTGGGTGGTGTATAGACAGCAGATGCATGCAAACAGGCAGGAAGCTCCAGGAAATAGATACCAGTGGTCAGCATGGTAGACAGCAATCATTGCCCACCTGCAACCTGACCATCCTTGAGGCATCACTGTAAAGGTGAATTTTAAGTAAGGATCCTGAAGGAGGATAATGAGGTAGCTTCGTAAGTGGGTGAGCTCTTCCTTTATTCTCCCTCCTGATCTAAAAGGTAGGTAGTAGTTTTATGGGCCAGACGGACGCAGACAGTAAAAATAATCAGCTTGTTTTTCAGACAATAGAGAAGGAAGAGCCAGTAGAGGGATACAAAGCAACAGGCAAATGGCCAGAGCAATGGTCTAGGAAAATGAGTCTTATTGGATATCAGTGGGGCAAAATTGCATTTGTCAAGGCCAGAGAAAAGGGTGCTGCAGTAATCAAGAAGTGAGATATTGAGCACTTGGATGAGAATTTTAACTCCTGTAGATGTACAGAAAAGGCTGTATATTAGTGATTTTTATACCAAAAGAATCTTCAAGAGTTAGATGAGCATCGTTTGACCTCACAGGGAGGTTCAAATTGGAGATGCTATCCAAATTCCAGGCCTGAGTGACAGGCAGGATAGTGATGATGATGATGTCCACACTGATTAGGAAAGGAGGTTGGGGGGAGTACTGTGTTTGTGTAATATCAAGAGCTCTGTCTTAGTCATATTGAACTTGAGATGACAGCTAGACAGACATGAGCTATCAGAAGGAGAGAATGAGATTTTATTTGGAACAGAGTAAAACAAGTCAAGACAAGAAGTGGATCTGTGACACCTGTATAGGGATGAATTACTTGGATAAGACAGTACTACTAAGTGGGTGATGCATGTCAACTGTCCACATATATTTGAATGGTGCAAAAACCAGGCAATAAGGGAGAGAAGTTAATTTACAAATGAACTCAACAAAGATCTTTGTAGTATACTGTAAGGTCATAAAATGACATAACAGCTTCTTTCCATCTGTCATACCTATGCTTCTCTAAAACCATGTTCTTAATTCAGTTTGTTCATTCCAAAAAGGGAATAAAAGGCTAAATTATCTGGACATTCATTTGCTTTCAAGACTTGTTAGAAAGAATGAAGAAAAAGTTTTTTGGACTATCTGCTGAAGAAACAGCATTACTTGCATTAGCATCTCCAGTTAACTGTCTGAAGTGTAAACTTACATTGATTAAACATAGTGTGTCTTTGTTTTTATAAATGAGAATTGATTTACCCTTGTACTTGTACCCTAAATTTGGTGCATGCCCTCATTATTACAGGAGGTGGAGAAAAGGCTCGAAAGCTTCACACATCAAGAGGGAAGCTGTTACCTAGAGAGAGAATTGACAGACTTGTAGATCCAGGGTGGGTAATTTCTTCTTGTATATTGACTTTCTTATAACTTCAGATAGTCCTTTGTTTTGTGAAAGTTAATAGAAATGCCCCCTTTTTTAATTTTCGTATAATATTGGCAAGTAGTATTGATTGAAATATTGATGTATCTATTATTTTAAAAGATGCATTTCAAAATTATTTAAAAATAAAGTTTAAAACAGTGTATTTTAAAACAACAAAATGGATATGTGGAAATAAAAGCAAATAATGTTTATCATCAGGCTATTTTCTGTTAATAATCCTATTACAATATCTCTTTACAGATCTCCATTCTTGGAGTTCTCCCAGTTTGCAGGTTACCAGCTGTATGGTAATGAAGAGGTACCAGCAGGAGGCATTATCACAGGCATTGGACGAGTGTCAGGGTGAGAATTGCTCGTGGTCTAAATTATAGAAGAAAGAGAGAAAAAGAGAGAAAATATTTATGTGGCTTCTTGTTTCAGTTCTGGGATTCATCTGGCATTTTGTTTCCAGTGTTTTGCTGTGTAGGCTTTCTCATACTTTACTCTTATTCTTTAGAAAATTACTCCGAAGTGAGGTTTGCTCATTTAAGGTCCCACTGATAGAGCCTTATCAGCTTATTTAAAATCGTTGTGAGATTCTGTTTCTCTAGGACAATGAGCCAGGATGCTGTAACAAATCTACAAAGGGTAGTGATTTCATCCAGTGTTGCCTTCTGCTTTTCATGGGAGTATGGTGTGTGAAATCACTGTATCTACCATGTAATACTTGATTGGCAAACTGTTTCTGTTTCTTTTTTTTAAGGAATTGGGAACAAATCTTATGCTGCTTTTCAATTTAAAATGTGATTAGTGGGAGCTGTCTTTGGTTTGGGTAGTTAAAGAGATGTAGCTGAGGAGGAATTATGATTTGGGGTGCATTTTCCTGCCTTTTCTGATTTATTTTTGACTCTCAAGTACTTTTGTCATTTTGAGTCTCCCTTCTTAGACTTGGATGGAAATTAGTTGATCAGTGAGGAAAGACGCATGCTTTTTATTTTGTAGTCTTTTGCACTAGATAAATAGTGGAATTGCTCCAAGAGGAGTGACTTACAAAATCATCTAGATTGGTTTATGCTGCTGCAAAGAGAGAATGGCGAAGAGTTAAGTCAGCCCCAAATTTGCTCTCTATTTGCATTTGGCTTAGGTTTTCAAAATCTGTTTAAGTGTTCAGGGATGGGCAGATCACATGGTGCTCCACTGGTTCTCAGCTGCTACAGTGTGGGATGACAGCAGCCAGTGTACTCTAAAGCACCGGTGTTCAACCTCACGCCTGTGGGCTGAATCCAGCCCACAGGGCTGTCATCTGGCCGGTAGGTCTCTCCACGGTGATGGTGGGGGAGTGCGGTAGCAGCATTAATTTGATGGTGGGGGAACGGTAGCAACATGAATTTCCACAGCTTCCCTCTTGTCAAATTTCTAGGGATTCAGTGGCCATATCTGGTGCATGGTGTCAGGACACCATGCTGGATCTCACCTGTGAATTGATCCTATGTGCCAGCCCAATACTGGTTCTGGCCTCTGGATTGATCTGGCCTTGCACCACTCATGTGGCTCATGAAGCTGAGAAGTTGAGCATGGCCGATTTAAAGCATCTAGTAGGCTTTGATCACTGGATTGTGGAATGTGGACTTTCTCTACCCTCAACTTCCCTCACCCAAAATGCTGAGTCAAGAATCTGGCTGAATCTAGGCCACTGACACAGAAGGGCTGAGGAGCTGTATAAGCAATGTCCATAAAACAAAGAGCCACAACAAACAGCATATACACCCTTTCCTGGTTTGTTGCAAGTCTCATTAGCATTTTCTCATTTCATGTACACACTTGTTTTAAACAGCTGCCATAAATGGCCAAGTATTACTACGTCATGCTGAATTGTCTCTGATGGCAAGAATAAAGCTACTGATGCATTAACAACAGCATGAGAGTTTAGAATCAAGAAAATAACCTACATGGAAAGAAACCCTGGATGGCCAGGTTTTAGCCATATTGGTCTAGAGGCAAAAGGAATCAGGACTCTTATTAGAGATGATATATTGTATTAGATCAACTAGATTTTTGCAACTAATTGTTTACTTGCAAGCTTTTGGGTACAAACACCCTTGCTCAGGCATAAGAGAAAAGATTGAAAAAGTTCTCCTGGGTAGAAATGAAAGTTCATATTTTATAAGAGAGTTGAAGGTGTGGTAAAATCTCCTGTTTGGAACTGTTCATTTTATATGCAGATTAGGCTCAGAGAAAAATTGAAATAGTCTAAAAAGATGGAGTGATCTTCTGGGCAGGCATTTCTTATGTGGTAAGGTGTCTCTGAGCTCTGTGATGATTCAAATGACCTCCAAAATGCCACTGGACCAATATGGCTACAACCTGGATACCTGACATGTGGAAGATAATGAATTTTAGCCTTTTTAAAAAATGAAATCTTCATAATTTTACAGGGAGGAAGCAAGTTTGACCACCTAAAATGTGAGACTCTGCTCCTGCCTTTGTTCGAGATAATTTGCATCCATCTTTTTACTACTCTGTGACATATGAAACACTGAAGGAAATATGACTACATCCTGCTTACCACCAAACAAATTAGAGGTAAACAGTCTATTCCAACTTTTTCCTGAGCCTAATCTACATATAAAATGAACTATTCCAAACAGGAGATTTACCACACCTTGAACTCTGCTATGAAATATGAACTTTCATTTCTACCCAGGAGAACTTACAGTCTTTTCACCTGTGCCTAAGAAGGGTGTTTGTGCCCAAAAGCTTGCAATTAAAGACTTTTTTTGCAAAAAGGTAGTTGGTCTAATAAAAGATATTACCTCTAATACGAGTACTGATTCCAAGTATTACTAGCATACTGTGAAAAGCATCAGGTTATAGCTGGAACTACTTATGCCTCAGCCTCAGTTTTATGTATTGTCACTCTATAAGTATTCCAAGAGCTATAAGTTTGTTTAGCTTGGATTTGAAAAACTAGTTTTTCCATGTATGTTATTTTCTTGATTCTGAACTCCCATGCTGTTGTTAATACATCAGTAGCTTTATTCTTGCCTTCAGAGACAATTCAGTAAGATGTAGCCGGTCAGGGAGATTGCCTGCTATTTCCATTTTCATCAAAAATAACGACAGCTGATACATAATTTTCAACCAGTTGCTTGAATACCTGCACTTAGATATAATTATTTTTTCTTTCAAAAGTATTTTAGTGTCAGAGAATTCCCAAAGCACATTTAACAGTAGTTGTTTTTAAACTGGCAAAACCCCCTTGTATGTTACTGTGTAGTTTCAGGCTGAAAACTAACAAGATTTTTAACATTGGCAGGATCAGAACACTGGATTTTCAATAGTTCAACTATTTTTGTATGTCTCAAATATTGCCTAATCAACATGAACAATAAATAGATTGAAACAATTGAAATGACTGTATCAGCATCAAATGATATCAACACAAGCTATTACAACACCATTGTATCTTCATTGTCCTGACAACACAAATGTAGCAAAACTTTTTCAGCTTTAATCTTGTTTCATTCAGGGTTAAAGTTACAGTAATTTAGCTTGTACCATTGCCATCCAGATGTAACAGTTATGTTGTAACAGCTGGTCACCTCCAGAGTAGCAGCAGCAGCTTCCCCTCTATTTTTAGAGGTTAAAATGTGTGTTGGTCCATTGCCAAGCTTGTAATGTTGTTTCTTTTGTTGATCCGGTTATAAACCAGATTGAGAAACTACATTTTGACATCAGACCCTCATACCGCTGATGCCCTTTTTTGGCTCTCTGGATGCAGCCACTGTAGATCAGAGAAACAAGGGTTTTCAAGAGGGATCTTGCAAATTTGGGGAGAGAAAGAAAACATTTAGGATGCCTTTACATAGGGAGGCTGCTCCAATGGGCTGTAATTACAGTGCATTGGAGCAAACTCGATTAATCGAGTCTGCTGGAGTGTGCTAATTAGTGTGCTCCAGCCAGCCTCCACATCTCATGTATCAGCATCCTGTGCTTCAAAATGGTGGCAGGGTCGCTTTAAGTGGAGCTCATGCAATGAGCTTTAGTTAAAGTGCCCCTGCTGCCATTTTGAAGCAGGGGGATGCTAATATATCAGATTCTGTGGGTGATTTAATTAGAGAGGCTCTTGGAGCTGTTCTGATTAAAGCATCCCCCCACCTCTGGAACACATGTCAAAAAGGCCATTAATGACAAGTTGTTTCCTTTCCTTTTTAATTTCTTTCCAGTTATACTGAGCAAAATGAACATAACTTTTTAAATTAGAGATTTCAGATGCTGCCTCATTCATACTATTTTTTAATCAACAAATGTGAAGCAAATGTATCCTGTATTGATGTAAGGTATCTAAATGGAACAGTTTTGAAGTGATAAGTAGTTAATGGGTGTACAGTGGGTTGTGCTGTTGGAATTTGTTGCAGATGTGGTGATTTATGGTAGTTAGGTAGCTCAACTGGGAAATGTATTTTGTTCTCATAAAGTTTTTGCTTTTCAGAGTTGAGTGCTTGGTAGTTGCTAATGATGCAACTGTCAAAGGTGGTACCTACTATCCAATCACAGTAAAGAAACATTTACGGGCTCAAGAAATTGCAATGCAAAATCATCTCCCATGTCTATATTTAGGTAAGTCCTATTGCAAACATAGCGAATGTCTGTTGTTAAAGGATACCCAAGGACTGTCATTAGAAGACTAAATTTTAAATGGATATGATATGGTATGATGGAACGATGGACTCTTAATTTGCTCATCCAAAAGCTGAGGTTTCAGATATGTGCATGCAGGCACACACATGCACATGTTCCGACACTCTCACAGTGCTTATTCATTCCTTTTATAACGATAGTAAAATGAACTAAAGGGTGAAAATTATAAGAACTTATAAATTACATTTAATGCATGTGTAACAACAAAAAAATAGTGCACCCCACATGCACATATCAACTGTGCTTCTGGTCTTATGGAAAAGACGGAATATTTTGTAATGTTGTCTTAGAAAGTTATATGCAGTTATTGAAATACTCCTACCTAAAAAAAAAATAAAGCTAGTTTGAAAACTTCAGCTATAGTTCTTAGTCGGTGCTTTTCTACAATTTAACATAGACAGTACTAAAGATAAAAATGACACTATTTTTAGTCCATGTTGTGATTGTAATTGGTCAGAGATGTCAGTGTGTTTTTTTTTCTAAATCTTAAAAACTTTTTGGGTCGTTTATTTTTTAAAATAAGCAACTCGGCATGCTAAATGTGCCAACTGTATGGGGGTAGTATAGGTTTTCTTTTCTTTACGTTTTTCAGTATGATCTTTTCAGTCCAATGTCTCACCAAGCAATATTTGGCTTGTGAAGTTTTACTGATAACCATTTTATTTGAATTCAGTGCTGTCCAACATCTAAGCCCCTGGGGGTCATGCCAGTGGATGTCACATGGCATAGGGGCTGCACCAGGCAAGGCTTCGGCCCCTGGTGCAGCCTCCATGCCATATGACACTCCTCACTATCCCAGCTGCTCCGTTTACCTGCGTGGGCAAACACTGGGCCCCCCTGCTTTAGGTGCCGTCCCTCCCCCCATTGTTGTACTATGCTGGTGTGTAGGAGCAGTTCTCCCATCCCCCTGCAACATGTGATTGCCCTCCACCTCCACCACTGCCCCACAGGGGCATGATCTTCCCCTCCAGCATGGGCCAGAGTCACCCTTAGCTCTCAACACTGCACCACACTGCCCTATCCCCTTTGGCAGAGCCAGGATATAGCAGCCAGATGTAGGGAGGGGAGGTGCTTGGAGACTTCATCTGTTGTTGCAGCCTGGTGAGAGCCCAGTAGCCACAATTTAACCCCGTGCAGGCTGCATATTGCCTGTGGGCTGTCAGTTGAACATCTGTGTCCTGAATTGATTACTTGGGAGAAATTCTGTGTGATCTTGTGCTTGGAAATCAAAGCAATACTCTGCAGTAATCCTAGAACAATAATCTGCACTGGGATCTTGCAGTCCCTTAGAATGACTACCTTGTACATTGCAAGAGGCAAGGATTTTTGTGGATGGTATCCTTTTATTGGACCAACTGCGTAGTTAGGATAGACTTAGACAAGTTTTCAAATGAAGAAGTAATGAAGAATGAACTGCATTGGAAAGCTGGTCTCTATTTATCCCAACCATGCATTTGGTCTAATAAAAGATAACACTCATAAAAATCCTTGCCTCTTGCATATTTCCTGGATCATCAGAGCTACACCATCATTTTGACACTTCCTTATATATTGGTTTTAATTAAGGTGCACAGTGTGGTTAGTTTAATTTCTTTAGCTTCCATGAGTGACTGTATACATTTGCCTGCAAATCAGAAATTTAATTTTTACTTCTCTGTTTTGAAGCTAAGAGAATGGTCATAGAAAATACAGTTGAAACCGTATTTTAAGTCAAATAGAACTTTGGCAGGAAGATGAGTTTAGAAAGGGTTGGTCAACTGGATTTAATCATGTCTTTTAAATTCAGCTACTTTTGTTTTGTATAAAAATGTTTGGGATGGATAACAGCTGCTTATGCAGACATATCAATTTTTATTTTGAAAGTGGAATTTGGTGGCCGAGTTTTCATGGTTAGTATTTTTACTTGTATTAAATGCAAACTCGTCTTTTCGAGTAATATTCAAATTATATCTTAGAAACATTTTTATGTGGCTTGCTATAGAGGTAGTTTTAAACACTATACATTTTTCATTCCACTTGACTTAGTTGACTCCGGAGGAGCAAACTTGCCCCGCCAAGCAGAAGTATTTCCTGATCGAGATCATTTTGGTCGCATCTTCTATAACCAAGCAGTTATGTCCTCACAAGGAATTCCACAGGTAACATGCTTAAAACTAAAAATTGCTAACTGGCCTCCATCCTTGCTGCTTCTGTCTGGGTTCAAGATTCATTTCAGCACTTTGAGCTTGTGACAGCTTAGAGTTTTGCTGACCTGACAGCTCAGTGTGGGGAATTGGAGACAGGGTAAACACCACAGCTGTCCACAGATTGACATTAGAGTTTTAAAAAAGCTTGCCTGCCTTCTCAGCCTCAGTGTCTGTAATCTCACCTAGTTGCTCCTGTCTTGGAGTGGGAGAAAGGAGAAATTGACAGTGTAGGATGAACAGGGGAGTGGGGAGCTTAGGGATATCACTTGCAAACAGTTGATTATTCTGATTCATTGCTATAGAGGTGATCACTCCTGTACCAAGGAGGTACACTTAGCTAACAGGTGTGTGTGTGTGTGTGTGTGTGTGTGTGTGTGTGTAAGTATATATGTTTATATGTTTTGTACAGTGATGTGTATGATAATACTGCTGTGACAAAGAGGTCATTCTTTTAATGTTAATGATGCATAGAAATACTGTTAGTCATGCTGTTTGCATGTAGACGTGTTTTTTCTTTCTGATGCTTAGATATGAATTCAACAGACTGATGTTTTAGATATGAGTGCTACCAGTAAAATGAACGCTTCATTCTTTGTGAACTGCTGATTCTAGGAGGGAAGGAGGGATTAATTGATTTATCAGACTATCCCACCTATTAAGAACACTCTAGACATAGAAATGGCTCCTAGAGTCCTGACCAGAGTAGAGAAATAACAGTCTACCTATTTTTTTGTTTTACTTCAGTACTGCTAGCTGGGTATTTTGTCTGGATGCTGTATTAGTTGTATTTTGATTTTGGATCTGGCTTGTTAGGACAGTTCTTATCGTAGAAATCACATGTGTAACACTCTCCATTCTTTGAATAAACCTATGTATTTGAATTCTCTGAGAAACTGTTTTTTGGTTGAGTGTTCTTACCCAGATGGAAAAGTTGGGAAAGAACATTTCGTTTTAGCCTCTAGCGAATAGTAGCTAAGAGGACTGTCTGGGTTTCACACTTCCCTTAATTACTAGGCATAGTCTCGGTCATAATTCTCCAAGTCAACTGCAGCTGATTTCCTTCTAGCATCCTTTAGGGCAGCCTATTTAGGTCTCCTCTAACCTGTCCTTCCTTGGGGCATAATCTTATGTTCTGCTCCCTCAAGAGTGAGGTCTCAGGCTTCAGGGACATTCAGTTTGCTGTGATCACCATACCAAGTTTGATTTTGGTTCAGCATCTGCACTTGTCTTCTCCAAGGCAGTGACAGGATTAATCAGTGGTAACTCCTCTTTTACCATTGGCAGGTGTGAAGCACTTCAGGTCTTCTCAGAGAACTATGCCTGTCAGTTCTTGGAGAGGGTATGAGTGACCCTTGAGCCTTTTGAACCTGGGCAGTTAAGTTTGTGTGTTTTCTTACTGCAGAACTGAAACTTCAAGAGACATTTTATCTTCATTGAACATTCACATTAGCAAAACCTTCCTTCTTCCTGCCGGAAGTATTTTTTATCTTACACCTTGACCCAGGAATATAATCACCAGCAAGATCCATAAAACATTAATACAGTAGTTCCTGAATATTCTATGATTCTTAGCTGTCATCATTTATTCTGCTTATATTTTAAAATATTGACTAGAGCAGGGGTGGGCAAAATATGGCCTGCGGGCCAGATCTGGCTCACAAGGCCATTCTCTCTGGCCTGCGGGGTCCCTAAAAAATGTAGAAAATTACTATTCCTGTGTCCTTGGTTCCTGTAAAAAATGACAGGAACCAAGGGCAGTAGGACCCAGGGGAAGCCCATTGGGCTCCAACAACAGTGGGGCCTGCCCAGTCCCGTCCCCCCAGCTGTAAGCCCCTGCCGGGGCTTCTGGCCTGGGATCAGGTGGCTGTTCCATGCCAGCACTGCAGGTAAGTGGGAAGGGAGGGGCACAGGGGGGGCCCCGGGCAGGAAAGGAGCGTGGGGTGGGGGGAAGCAGCCCCTTCCCTGCCCGGTGCTCCTCACTGCAGCTGCTCACAGCCCACATGGGGCTGCCGGTGCCTGCTCCCAACAGCCCTGTGCGGGCTGCAGCAGGGAGCGCTGGCCATGGGCTGGGGGAGGGGCCACTTTTCCCCCCCGCACTCAGCTTTTCCTTAGGCTATTTCCCTATACAGAGAAAAGCAGCCCCTTGCCCACCCCATGGCTGGTGCTCCCTGCTGCAGCTGCTTGCAGGCCACGCGGGGCTGTCCGGAACAGTCACAGGCAGCCCTAGGCTGGCTGTGAGTGGCTGCAGTGTGGGGCACTGGGCATAGGGTGGGTGAGGGGCTGCTTCCCCACCCCTGCGCTCAGCATCAGCTTGTAACCCAGCCCCACTGCCAGGCTGGCAGCAGGGCTGGGTTACAAGCTGGTGCTGAGCATAGGGAAGAGCGGCCCCTCACTCACTGTGTGGCCAGTGCCCGGTGCTGCGGCTGCTTGCAGTGCACGTGGGGCTACTTGTGCCTGCTCCAGACAGCCCCGCGTGGGCTGCAAGCGGCTGCAGCAGGGAGCACCAGCCATGGGGTGGGCAAGGGACTGCTTTTCCCTGCTGGTAAGCAGGGGTTTGGGGCTGTGCGCTGCCCCCTGCCTGTACCATGGGGCTGGGCACTGGGTGTGAGTGGGTGGGGAGCCAGTGGGAGTACGGGGCCCGCACCAGTGCCCCAGGGCCAACACCAGCAGGGCCCAGAGCAGGGCAGCAGAGGTATAGGGTCCCAGCAGGCAGGGGTTCTATGGAGCCGGGCCAGCTCCCCCCTCTACCTGCTGGTGCAGCCCAGCCCGGCTTCACAGACCCCTGCCAGCCTGTGCCCCACTTTGGGCCCCACTAGTGCTGACCCTGGGACATTGGTCCCAAGACATTGGAACATTGGTCCCAAGATGGTGACCAGGGGGCAGGGCACCTATCAAGGGGCAGGGCTACCCATGTGGCCTTCCACACCCTGCCAAAACTGGGTAAGCTGCGCTCCGCCCAAAATAATTGTCTGCCCGTGGACTAGAGTGACTTTATCCTAGTGTTACAAAGGGAAATAAAAGGATAAATTTCCTTGACAACAAAAGGCCATGGACATGTGTAACATTTGAAGCACTGCAGATGGCAAGCAGGGAGACATACCTTATTTACTTACATCTAAGATGAAGTTTTTTTCCCTCCGATCAGCATGGAGGGTGAAAGCTCCTTGTCTTAGCTCCGCATACAAAGTTGGGGGTGTGGGGGTAGGCAGCTGCTGCAGCTCTGGCCCAGAGCCAGAGTCAGATCCACAGCACCCTTCTACCCTCAACTCTGCTTGTCCTCTGCAGTTTCTGCCCCTGCCCCCTTCCCCCCACTTACTGTCAGGTGCAGCTTAGCTCTAGCTCAGACTGGATTCCCTCCTAGGCATAGAGTACAAGGAAACTCCATCCCCTGTCCAGGCAATCAGCAGCACTGGGGGTTGGAAAGAAGTGGGGGCAGAGAGGGCAATAGGACTTCCTAACCCCTCCTGCCTCCCCTCCTCCCCCTCTCCCCCCCCCCCAGCTGCTTTCCGTGCTATAGCAGTGGGGAGGGGGCATACATTTAAGATAGCCCTCCAATACCTGGAAAATTAAAACTAATTTCTAAATTTGTCATACATAGCATCTAATTATTGGTGGGTCATCTTAAATTCAGGGTTGGCTTAGATTCAGGTAAATATGGTATATGCCCTAAAAATGACCAGAGAGCTCCAAAAATGACCCTGGAAGAAACAACAACTTTTTTGGAGTGTTTAATTTTAAGTACTTACGGTTATGTTTGCATGATCAGACCACAACAGGGGATTGCTTTTTCTACTGAGAGGTCTAATTCTCCTGCAGTGCTCTACTCCCACCCTCTCCCCATGGTGAGTGGTAAAGGAGAGCAGGTCAGAAACCAGTGAGCACTCTTCTGTGTGTCTGACCATCTTTGGCAATCTCCAAATCCCAAGAAACATGCAAAGAATATTTCCTTCCAGCTCTAGGGCTGGAGAGCAGGAATCTCTGAATGCTTCTTTGCCCATTCCAGTGCAGGGACATAGGGTTTCCCACTTCTGGTAGGGAGCATAGGGCCTTTGGTTCTGGGGAAGGGACTAGTGAGAATGTGTCCTTGCATGACTCTTGGCTCTGGTTCCAGAGGCTGGATTGGAGGCTGAGCACACAGGAGAGCAGTCATTGGATATCTGCCCCACTCTTTCCTTAACAGAACTAAGCAACCCCATGGAAAGCATGCTGCTGCATGCCATTGCAGGGATTTTGAAGTGCTCCAGAAGCGGGTTATGGCAAAGCACTACACATCTGCCCCTCACCAGAGTTCTTTGGTTGTATTGGAGATGAAGTCTAATACTGCTTCCAGTTCTTGCACATATGTGCAAGTAGAACACAACTGAGGAATCAGAATCTTGCCTTAGAATTCAGTATGGAGCTGGACCACCAGAAAACTTGGATGCATTCAAACGCAGTCCTTCTTGACTTTAGGGTCTGAAAACCATGCGAACCAATTCTTACATACTTTAGGTAGAAAAAGAATGAATTGTACAATTCTCGTTTCATATTGATTGTACAATTTTCTTGTTTCATATTGAACAATTCTCTGTTTCATATTGAATTCAGGAGAATTTACTTGGCTTGACCCCAGTGTATCAAGGAAGGCATCCATTGTTAACACTGAGTTAGAAAAAACAATTTACTGTCTTGTGGATTACAAATCTAGCTTTATTCTCTCCTTGCGATCTTTTTGCTAGGACTGTTATTTAATGCCCACTGTATATGCAAAACAGAGAAGAAGTCGAAGGAAACCTCCTGTGCCCATTTTTGGGTGAATAAAACTAATTTCCTAGCAGGAATAAAAAAAATAAGTATTTAGGCACAGATGGTGACAGGGCTGTTGTGCCAAATGATTAGTTTGGAAGGAATTCAAAATAATTTTATTCTCACCAATGGGTTTTCTTGTAGTTCATGCAAGAGACCAGAAAAAATCAGCCAAGCAGGAGTTACCTATCCCTTTTATTGTCTTTTCCCCCACACTGGAGGATCTGAGTATGAAGTGGTTGTAGCATGCAATTCCAGTCATCATTTTGTAGGTGGTGCCTTAAAGATAGAAATACTAAAAGCAAGTAAAAATAAGAAAGGCTGGAGGAATTGTGAATGTCTGGCAAGGTCCCTTGGCTGCTTTCCTTTAAAGCCAGGGTGGGCTATTATTTGGGCTGGAGGGCCACTTAACATGTTTTGGTGTGCTGTTGAGGGTTACACACACCATGTGCACACACATGCACATGCTTATGTGCACACACACATACATGCTCCCTGGCCCCAGACCCCCTGCCCAGAGCCGGCACTTGCTGCCACATCTCAAGCTGAGGGGGTAGGGGATGGAGTCTGGCTATGGACCTCCACACTGTTCTGCCCTGCTATCAGGGCTCCTGGTGCATGTACCTCCCCCCCAGCCCTGTGGCTTCCAGGAGCCTTGATGCCAGGGTAGAACAGGACAGTGTGGAGGCCTGTGGGCAGGGGCTGGATGAGTTGTATTCAAGCCCCAGTGGCTGCTGGGCAGAAGCAGCCCTGCCTGCTCACTTAGCACTGTATGACAGCCAGTGCTAGAGCCTCCAGGGCCCAAGTGCAGCTTGCCTAGGGCCTACTGTGTAATACCAGGCAGGTGGGCAGGGCTGCTTCTTCCTAGCATCCCCCATAGTGCCTGGGAGATGCAGTCTGGCCCTGTGCTCTGGCCCCCACCTCTGCTGGTGGGCGGTGCGGGCAGCAGCTCTGCCTCTGGCTTCTGCTGGCACCACGCAGTGCTGGGTGGGCAGGGCTGCTTCTGTTCAGCATCCCCTGCAGTGCCTGGGAGATGGAGTCCGACCCCACAGGCCCTGGGCAGCCCATACTCCATCTCCCAGGCCATAGCACAGTGCGGGGTGGGTGGGTAGGGCTGCTTATGCTCAGCATCCCCTGTGTTGCCACCAGAGGCCAGAGCTGAAGCTGCTGCCCACCAGCAGAACCAGGACCCCAAGTGTAACTGCCTGCTAGATTTTTCCCATCCGTGCTTTAAAGACATGCTCAGTATTTTGAAGCCTATATCCATTTATCTGCTAACACTGTGTGATTACTACCTCATTTCTCACTTGTGCTTTTTCTGGATCCAGTTGATAATTGTAGTCTTTGTTCTAATATGTTCCATAGACTTATAACAACCTACTTTGGTCATTCTTTCTCTGGGAAGAAAAGATCCTATTATCTTTATTCAGTTTATTGCTTTCTCTGTGACTTTACTGTATGGTCAGGCTTATGAAGCAGGAAGATCCCCTGTTAGTTCCTCCTCTTTCCTGTCCCTAAACTCTGAATGGATGCAGCAGAGAGGCAAGTCACATATGTTAAGCATGTGATTCTGTGCATTTCCAGAGCATGGATTTTATTACCTTGGTGGGTCTTTGCCTATCTATCTTTGCCTAGTCTAATCAAAGGAAGCACTGGAGAAGCAGTTCTTTGGGGTAGAGATTTGTGGTCCTATTTTTTACTTTTGACACCAAGATTTTGAAAACCCTCTTTTATACTGAAAAAATTAAAACAGTTGTTTTTAAACGCATCTGTGTTTTACAAAATAAGATCTGCCAAATTAAAAAAAGAAGCCAGAAAAGGTACAAGTAATTTGTTTTAAGTATTTGTTGCTTTCCAAGCACATTCTATTCTGCTTGTGGATATCTGATGTCTAATTTAATGTGCAAAAAAAGTCTATTGATTAATTACTCTGCCCTCATTGCGATGTGGGGCACAAGATACTAGTTGCCAAGAAAGCTCCTTTTGATTCCAAGTTGGTAGGCAAAATGAATATCATTTGCTCCTTTTCCAGATGCAAGAGAAGCCTGCTTGATCCTCTCTTTTTGCATAGTGAGTTTGCTTTAGAATAGCAGCTGTTTAGTTCTTGCCAATACGTGAAGTAGATAGGTTGTTTGTTTGTACTTTATTGCTATCTCAGTCTTTCGTTGTTTTTTAAATTGTATTTTCAGAGATTCTGAAAGCAAATAATACATTTGGCAATGATTTGTTTCACGTTTCTCTCAGCATTAATGTCACTGCTTTTCTTGTTTTTTGTATTGTGTTACTTTGTTTCAAGCTGCCTTGAAACAATTTTGACTTTCCTTGTGCAGCACTTGTGACACTGGTGCTATGAAAAGAGCTGAATTTTTGTATCAAGTATTTTTTTTTAATTGAATTTTTCTTGATTTATAACAAAACATATTGTAATGGTCTTTTTAATTGCCATTAGATTATATATCAAATTAACCAGTAAAAAATAGATTTCACTTTGTAATTCAAACTCACGTGACACCAGTTCCATCATATTGTTCCAGTTATAAGATGACCCCGTATTTTCTGGTTCAGTTCTAAGAATATAAGTCAATTATTACTGATAAAAACCTTGAACTGTTAGTGTCCTTACAATATCTCCCAAGGGAACCTGGGAGAAAGCTGAAATGGTTAAATGCAGTAAAAATACTGAAATAAAAACCGCACTGAAAAAAATTCTGAGTTAGTATTTTTCTTCCATGCACAGAATTACAGATACCAAAGTCCAGACTATTGAGCATCTGATGGCAAACAGGATGTTACATTATGCTTCTTTCTTGTTATGATGTTGCATATTTCACAGGAGGGTGGGTGATAGAAGGCTCTCCTGGGCAAGGAATTTCTCTTGTGCTGAGACGGCTCTGCAAGGATGCAAATTAGGCTTGAAACAAAAGGCAGGAGCAAGCGTATCAGCTTTCAGGTCTCAAGGTGGTGATGCATTTTGCTTCTTTCTTGTAAAATTATAAAGTTAGGAAGGGCATGTGCCCAAAAGCTTGCAAATAAAGATTTTTTTTTCTAGGTTAACCTCATGTATAAGTCAAGTTTTATGGTTCTTTTTGAGGATGAGATGGTAAACATAATCATAACAGTGGATCCAGTAAAAGCCAGAGTAAAGAGGTGTGTTTTATAATACATCCTGAAGGTCAACAAATGGAGGCTTTGTGAGTTGGCCAATAAAAGAAGTAAATTAATTCCCACTGGAACTGAAGAACCTCTTCTTGCTTTAAACTCATCCTTTTTTTTTTTCTTACCTGTGCCTCTAGATTTCTTTGTCTGCTTTTGGTCCTGTGGTTAATTTATTCAGATTACTAATTTATTACTTTCTCTCTGCAATATTAAATCTATGTTGTGTCTAAGTAGCTATGAAACAAGAAGTCATGTTTGGCTTCCTGTTAGCCCCCACTCATCAGGTCCTCAAGCTGTGGCAGTACAGTGGATTATCAAGAACTATATGTTAAATATTTGATTTTGTATATTGCAGACAGAGGATTTTGTCTTGCCATCACTCCTGAGATCTATAAATGTAGAACATTTTACTTGAGTATATCATCTAGAAACATCAGCTGTTGACTTCCATGCAGCTATATTTGTTTTTATTTAAATGAACCAGGAAGTCCTCAGATACTGCTGTGGGTCATTCAAGTACTTAGAGAGATTCTCTGCAGTTTCTGAGGAAATGCTTACAGAACGGGGTAAAAAAACATCCTGCATACTCTGCATGAACACATATCATCCCACAGCACTTCTTGTGAACCTCTGCTAAAATCAATACAGTGAAGATTAATGAACATGTGACTTAAGGAGTCTGGACTAACTGGAGTGTTTCTTCCTCAGATAGCAGTAGTGATGGGATCCTGTACAGCAGGAGGAGCATATGTACCTGCAATGGCTGATGAAAGTATAATAGTTGGCAAACAAGGAACAATATTCTTGGGAGGGCCTCCGTTGGTAAGTGGCGAAAACTTGTATTATGTATAATACATATATAATACTGTATATAATATCTGTAAGTGCAATTGTACAAACTTCTTGGGTTTTCTCTGACTTGTCTTGCAAATTGAAAAAGAAAATCAAAACTCAGGTTAATCACTTTCTTGTATTTGTAGATATATCGTGATGCAAGTCTATAATTAGATCATGTTAAGGTTTTTTGTAGAGGTGCACCAATACATCGGTCCTGTATCGGATTGGCACCAATATAAGGAAAATTAACAGTATCGGCAATTGGCTATGATGTAGCCGATAAATGCCCTGTCCATCCAGGCAGCCGCAGCATAACACTCAGGTAGCCAGGAGCACAGCTGGGTCTTGCTGGTAAGTCTGTTGTGAGGGAAGGGGCATGGGGTGGGGGCAGATCAAGGCCTGCACAGTGAGGGAAGGAGTGAGGCTGGGGCAGGGGCAAGTGCTGCACAGCCGGGGCAGAGGAGGGGACAGAGCCACAAATGGCTCATCCTGGGAGGGGTTGGGGGAAGGCAGCAGTTCCTGCTGCTGCATGCACCCTGAGAGGGCATGGGGGAGTGTGTGCCTCTGGATCTGTGTGGGGTGAGGGTGGGCTGCTTCTGCTACAGGCTGGGGCCGGGGGCAGCACTGGGCTCTTTCTGGTAGTGGGGGTTGGGCTGGGCTGCACTTGGGGCAGGTGGCAGCAGGTTTGGGAGGGCGGTTATGGTGGGGGCTTCAGCCACCATGAAATGAGTCATGGTTGTACTGGGAAGGGGGGTTGGGGGGCTACGGCAAATTTTTTTTGGGGGGTGGGGGAGCTGCAGCCCCCCTCCCAGGCCACTGCTGCCTGCCCTGAGTGCAGCCCAGCCCAGCCCCCTCACCAGGAAGAGCCCAGTGCTGCCCCAAACCCAGCCTGTAGCCCAGCCCAACCCAACACCACAGGGGGGTGGCGAGCGGCCGTAGAGCAGAGCTGGCAGTGTGTGGCAGCCGGCAGGGCCTGTACAGCACTGTCTGTGGGGCCTGGGGCTGTTGCCCCAATTTGCTCCCCAACAAGGGACAGATTTTAGTATAGCGTCTTGGTATGACTCAAACTTATAAAACCAGGAAGGTCAGAGGTAAGGCTGAAATTGCATCCATATCTTATCTCATTGGTATGTTGGATAGGTGATAGAACTTTAGAACACCAAATGATCTACTGTATTTTTAAAAGTTGTCTTGCAGACAAAAGGAAGTATTAAGGTTTCGAATTTTAGTCATAATTTCCTTACTTTCTTGGGGCATGTCTCTAAGAGAAATCAACCAGATATCTGTGTCATTTCACACTAGTAATTGTGAAATATTTTTTCTGCAAAAATTAGCACATTTTGTTAGTGCACAAGTTAATTTGGGATAAAGAAACTTATTTTAAAGATCTGGCTCTATACATTTGATGAAATCCTTGTCACTAAAAACCAATGGCAAAATTCCTACTGGTTTTGATAGGGACAGGTTATGTCTTGTTTGTAGTGTACTATCTGCTTTGAATTCCTCTTGTGATTTGATGAATCTGCCTAATACCCAGTTTATTTAATTGTAATCTACTGATTCTGGTTTTTTTAACCAGGTAGCCCTCTTCAAATGCAGTTTTTAACTTCTTTTGTAAATTGCATCCTGTAGTCTGTTAAAGTAGAATTGATTCTTTTGCCTGGCCTGTGTTTCAAACTTACCCTGCCATAGTCCTGTTAGTTAGGCGCGTGATTTATTTCCCCCCCTAAATAGAGCTTTGCCACTATATGCCCTAATGTAGGTGCAACTATACCATCAAGAAAGTTCTTTTGTCTGGAATAGCTTGTTTTACTCAGGAACCTGGTGCAAGCTAAACTTGCAAAAACACATTTTTACTGGTAAAAGGTGGGTCTAAACAGGAAATGTTAGCATACCTACTTTGGCAAACCCATTCTAGCATAGACAAGGTCTTATTGGGTAAAATTTTGCTTCCCACTTGAAACAGTGTAAAGTACTGTGTTGTCAAACCAATAAATGGTCTAGTGTTTTGAGAACAAGCTAGGAAACTACAAATATCTAAGTTAAAGCCAATCAGACCTCTTGGGAAGGTGTTATCTTTTAGTAGACCAATGAGATAGTCGCAAAAGTTTCTTTATTTGTAAGCTTTCAGGCACCCATGCCCTTCCTCAGGCATAGGAGAGTGCAAAGATTGTAACATTTCTCCCAGATGGAAATGAAAATTCTTATTTCACAGGAGAGCTGAAAGGTAGTGTAAGATCTTTTGGTTGGAAAAGATCATTTTATGCAAAATAGGCTCACATAAAAGTTGGAGAAGTCTTTTTACCTCAGAGTTGTCTGATGGCAAACAGGAAGTTGAATTATGCTTCTTTCTTGTTATGATGTTGCATATTTCACAGGAGGGTGGGTGATAGAAGGCTCTCCTGGGCAAGGAATTTCTCTTGTGTTGAGACTGCTTTGCGAGCATGCAAATTTGGCTTGAAACAAAAGGCGGGAGCAATCGTATCAGCTTTCAGGTCTCAAGGTGGTGATGCATTTTGCTTCTTTCTTGTAAAATTAAGAAGTTAGGAAGGGCATGTGTGCCTGAAAGCTTGCAAATAAAGAATTTTTTTTGCAACTATCTAGTTGATCTAATGAAAGATATCACCTCTCCAAGAGTTCTGATTACTTTTGCCGGCAGAACAACATGGCTACAACCTGTATCCCTGAAACATGTAAGTTCAAACCAGATACCTCACCAAAAGGCTTGCATTTGAATGTGTATAAATGTGGAAACCAGCTGGTAATCCTATTTTGTACTACTTGTACTACAAAATTCCTCATTTTGTACTACAAAATGACAGAGATGGAGTCAAAATCATAGCAAGTAGGGATGGAGAGGACTTGAGAGATCTTCTGATCCATTCATTCACCTCAAGGTGGGGATTATCTATACCTGAAACATTCCTGACACATTTATCCAACCTGCTCTTAAAACCTTGAATGTACCTTAGTAATCTGTTCCCTAGGTATTTCCTAATTCAGGGGTGTAAAACATGACCTGCAGGCTGGATCCAGCCCATAGAGATGTATGATCCAGCCCATACATCACTGACCAACCATATGTGCTGACTACAGCCCTGTGTGCCCTTCATGTATTGCATGTGGTGCTCTGTCAGGCCAGCCCGGTCTGGATTGGTGCCCCAGACCCCTGTATTGTCTGCAGCATGTGTCCATATGTGGCATGTGCTGGCCTCAGAGCTTGCTGTATACATGGGACACTGTGCTGTCCAGTGTTCATTCTGGATCTAGCACTGCATGTGGTGCAGGGAGTCTGGGGCTTGGGCTTCATGCGGTGGTCCAGGACCAACCCCCTCTGCTGTCTGCAGCTCTGCGTTCATCCTACATTGTGGACAGTGCGTGTCCTGTTTGGGAAATATATTTTATGTTACTTCAGTGGAAGTTTTCCAGTCTGCAGAAAAGGATAAAGTAATTGGCAAAGACAGATAGAGTAATCAGTAGCCACCCCTGAACAATGAAAGTGCACCATTCAGTACTGATTGATTTGTTGCTCATTTTCTATTAGAATTTCTTTGCCGCTAATTATGTCATTATAAATCTGAATATCTTTTCTCATTGTGTCTTGTACTACTCCTTTTTACCAAACTAAAAGCTCATTGCTTATATGTAAACTAATGCAGGACCTTGCCTCAAATTAAGGATTTTCACCTAGACTTATTTTATCACTGTTGACTAACATATATGTGAACAAACAGTATCTGAGAAAAGAAAGTCAGTAACACTGTATGGTTCTTTTTAGTGCTTCATGTATACTGAAGCCATCTTCAATAACCCGTTGTGTCAGATGTGGTGGTGGTTCTATGAACTACCCAGTTCTTCATCCTCCACAGCCACCCTAATTATTTTCTTCATAGATCCAAACATCTTAAGGAAAAGGAATGTGTATATTAGACACAATCAAAGCCTCCATGTGAATAAAATTATATATAGTATTCAAAACTTCAGGTACAACTCCCTTATTACTGCACAGGCTTCAAAAAGAAATGTGATTTTTCTGAGCATAGAGATCACAAATACATTATGAGGAGATCTGAAACTATCACAACAGCCTTCCTCCACACTTTTTCAAACACTGTGGAATCAACATCATTGCCCTTGCTGTTGCTGCTTGGTAGAAGGGTATTACAAAACAGGGTGCTACAGTATCCCTTCAGCTGCTTTTCAGTCTTACATGGCCAAATTAAAGCCTCTCTCTCCTTCCCTATGGGGGATCATTTGTTGCTTTCTTCATTTCTCTGTGACAACAGTGTGACACGGAAAGAGTGAAAAATGGAAAATTCTGTCTTATCCCTCTGAATTTTCATTTTTGGTCCTCTGTGCCAGATAGTTTGAGTATCCCTGGGGGAATTTCATTAAGTCCATTTCTTCCTGACTATTGCTCACTTGTCAAGTAGTCTGAAAGGGAAGAAGGGGTTCCTTTAGGAAATTCCTGCATTTCATGTCAAGTCTCTACTGTAATTGGTTTGGATTAAATAAAGCTTTTAAAGTATACATACCATATTTACTTGTGTAATAGCCACATTTTTCCTGCTATTTTCCTACCAGACCTTAAGGTGCGAGTATTATGCACTCTAGAGCAAATCCATTCTAAATAAAAGTTATAATTCCATAAAAAAGCATAAGAAATTATTAAATCAGTTCCTTTCCCAAGAACACTTTATTATTTTATGCATTCAGTAAAACATTACTACACTCACTACACCCTCAAGTATTGTCCTTACTCTTGCATTTCACTATCACTATATTTTTTTTGTCCTCACTGAGAATTTTCATCCTCATTATCCTATGCAGTATTATTTCAGATACAGGCAGTCTTTGGATTTACGGCAACATTGGTTCCTGAATACCGCATCTTAAGTTGAAACCTTGTAACTCAGAACTGATTTTCCCATAGGAAACAATGTTATAAATGGGGGGTTGGTTCCTGAACCAAGGCCCAATATCCT